GAACAGGATGAAACTATTTTGAGTGACCCACTTTATATATCAAATATAGCTAGATTTATCGAATTCGTTTATAGAACAAAATCTACCTAAAATGCATTTTTTATACAAGATGCGTTATATAAGATCCACCCATCGAAAAAAATATATTGAGCGTAGCGCCATCTACATATTGGCCTATTTAAAATTAATTTATATCTAAAACTGAAGCTCTCTTAGCGCTCTATAAACTGGCTCTTACAGAATTAAAATATCTCTATCACTTACCAAAATATCCGGCCTGGGAGTTGTTATTGGTACACCCTGCATACATTATTTACAATCTACTATAGTCGCCGCACCGAAGATATTTAGGAATCACGTGCACTTCAGCCTAAAATGAGCGTCAGGTTGCCGTCTGAAAATCGTCAACGTCTAGTCGTTTTTAGTTTATAAAAAACAATAACAATTTTTAAACAGTACATAATCAATTATTTTTTTAAAACCTGTGATAATTTTCTTTTCACATATATATACAAAATTATTACAATCTACTATAGTCGCCGCGCCGAAGAGATTCAGGAATTACGTACACTTCAGCCTAAAATGAGTGTTTGGTTGCCGTCTGAGAATCGTCAACGACTAGACAAGTGTTTTAGTTGATCAGTTTGAAGCGGAACGTTTACCGACAAATATTCACAGTATCTCCCATAATTATCTATGAAAAAACTATTCTTGGCCTATAACCTAGCGGCCAAAGATTTCAGGGACCCAGCCCTTAACACATGTCAATCACGCAGTTTTATTACTGCATCTCTTCGTCATGTCTACTATAAAAAGTCACTTTATCTTAAATACTACTAAGTTATAAAAATAAAATATTTTACATCTTTTTCTTACTTTTCGTTTTCTTTTTTGTAGTTGACGCGTCATCAACCTTAAATAAAACAAATATTTTTAAATATTTATTGATAATCAGGTAAAAAATATATATATTTATAAAAAATTTGAAAGTATGTATGTTCTATTTTAATAGTAAACTTAATAAATGCCCATAAATGATTTAACACTTTTATTTGCAAGACGAGAGAAGAGCAGTTTGTGCAACAAGAGTGGATACCATGACCATATCGCACGAAGGCTCAAGAGTGCGATATGGACAATCCACTTGAGTTGTACATTTTTTCTACGACCCACTAACGGAAATCTACAAATTAAAAAATATTTTAGGTTATTAAGACAAAATAACTAATTTTAAAATAATTTATGAATTTTACTGAGTTTTAAAATAATTATATATGAAAAAAAAAATAGTCGACAGCCAAGAATCGATCACCGGCTTTTCGCGTGGAAGTCAAGCACTCTGTCCATGCCTCTGCGGTCACTTTTACGATTTTGGTTTTAATACTCGTAATTAAAATAGTTTCATATAGTTTGATTAAAATTATTTTTTTTTTTTTCAAAATATGGATCAAATAAAAATCATTCTATTATTTCTCGATTCTACACAAGAATAACTCATTTTGTCCACGACCACTTAATAATAAATCAATATTCTACCTACTAACAAAAAGCATATAGTACCCATATATCACGGAGTGAATTATGATAATTCACGCTTTTGTAATTCTGGCACATTCCGGTAGATAACTAAAGATAGGCGATTCTTTTCATAACGATATTTTCTAGATCGAAAAATCAAAAAATCGAAAATCGAAAATCGAAAATCGAAAAATCGAAAATCGAAAATCAAAAAATTGAAAAGTGGAAAAAACAACAGTTAGTTACCTATGTTTAATAAAAACTTTCCATTCTACACTTAACTTTTATTTAATAAAGAAACCATAATGGTCGTGGACAAAGTATAGTATTAGACTCGCAATTTATGGCCATTATTCACTCGGGTGACTTGCGCCCCTCGTCTACGGCTCGGGACGCAAACGTCACCCTGCGTGAATAATGGCTACCATAAATTGCTCGTTTAATAATATACTCTTAATGTATATTTAATCTTAATAACTAAAAAATATAGTGACAATTGGTTTGACAGAATTGTCACATATTTAAAATTTGATAAATAATAGTAGTTGGGTATCCAAAATATGAACTGTGATTGGTGGATTTTATTTTGTTGTAGTGTTTCCAGTAGATGTCCCCCCCCCCCCCCCCCCCCCAGCCAGACACCTCTCGGATTCAGACCTGGCCAAGGAAGCGGAGCTGGCCGTGCGCTCGGCTATTTATAGACATTATGCGGGGGATTATGAAGGTTATATTTATTAACTGTTTACAAGAGTGTAATTACTTGGGAAGAAAGATTTTCAAGAAATAGGGTTTGAAACTCGGATATCGGTAATGTAGATTTCATACTTAACGGCTGATGTGAAATTAGATACGCAAGATTACTTAACATAATATAAAACTATATTTTATGAAATATGTTTGTAAATGCTTGAATATAATATACAGATATATCATACATGGGTTTGAAACTCGGATATCGGTAATGTAGATTTCATACTTAACGGCTGATGTGAAGTTAGACACACAAAATTACCTAAGGTAATATAAAACTATATACATATATAGATGGCGTTACTATCGTATATATACTAATACCGTAATAAACGTATAATAATAAGTGTTCGGACTAGCATTATATATTATTTAATATGCCGAGTTGTGATTTTTTTGGAGGATCTCGCTACTGCGAGTGTAGTGACTGTCATACAAAAACATGCCTTAAGTGCGGGAAAAAAGTAATCTGTACAACGTATAAATATGAAACCGATCGAAAAGGTATAGGCTACTACAGCTTTAACACATTATGTGATGGATGCACGAAATCGACCAAAGATGAAACAAATCAAAAATAATAAATGTACTATAATACAAAAATAACCCTCTATTGGATGATTTACTAATATACTTATTTTACACATGTCAAAGCAAATAGTTTGGTGATTTCTTGATTAGTTTTGAGAAGTATAAATAAGGTTGAAAAAGAAAATAATCTTAGTATGTGATGTGTACTTGAAGTTTTGGTAATATTAAGTAGTCTTGCTTGATTAATAAGGTACCTATATAGTATTGTAGTAATGTTTATTTATTAATTAAAACGAGTATCTGTCAGTCTAAGATGGAGTACCACTTAGTAATAAACGTTATATGAGCTTTGAATGATGTGAGTTTAGATAACGCCACAAATGATTAAACTTTATTTTACTTTCTAATATAATTTGTAAAAATAAAATGCAAGTAAAATGGGTTAAATTATTCAGATTTGTAAAATAGTGGATTGATTATAGTGTTACATATTAGTATATGCTACAAAATTTAAGAATTTTTGTTGTTTAGTGTTTGATGATATACAGTATGGTTCAAATGAAAGGAATAAATTCATTATAATGGAAGTAGTTGGTTTTTCGAAAAAATGCTTGGACAGGTCAATTTTGTTTACTCAAAGCGCAATTTTTTAAGTAAAATTCAATTTTCCCCCACTTCCCATTTTTGGGTAGTGACGTCATTCACAATTTTTTTAAATAGTAACCCCAATTTTTTTTCTTGATTTTGATAGATCTTGCAATTTCCTACTCGGAAACATAATATTTGAAATATCTTACATAACAATTTTTTTGAATAAAAGTCATTTAAAGATCAGACACATAAATTTTATTTTATTTTGAGAACACAATAAATGAATAAATGATAATTATTTGTAATTAAGTGCTTAATTGAACAAAATAATAATAATAATAATATTATTATTATTAATAATAATAATAATAATAAAAAAGAATTTGTAAAATTGTCATTAAATTACAATATATCTTTTATTTATTTATTGTGTTTCAAAATAAAATAAAATTTATGTATCTGATCTTTAAATGACTTTTATTCAAAAAAAAATTGTTATGTCAGATATTTCAAATATTATATTTCCGAGTGGAAAATTGCAAGATCTATCAAAATCAAGAAAAAAAAATTGGGGTTACTATTTAAAAAAATTGTCAATGACGTCACTGCCCAAAAATGAGAAGTGGGGGAAAATTAAATTCTATTTCAAAAATTGCGCTTTGAGTAAACAAAATTGACCTGTCCGAGCATTTTTTCGAAAAACCAACTACTTCCATTATAATGAATTTATTCCTTTCATTTGAACCATACTGTATGTATATTTTATGTATAGGTATAATTTTCAATTATTTTTGAACGAAGAACCTAACCTATCCTATCGTATTAACTACCAAAATCTGAATAATCAATTTGAAAAAATATTGCTCATCCTTCAGACTGTTGGTAGGATTATGGATTTAATGTTTAGTACGTTTGTAATTAATGAATTTTTCCTTCTTTTTAGATTAGTTAGTACCATTACAAATCTTGAAAATTTAAAAGACAAATACGGCAGTACAGCTAATAATAAATTGTATCAGCTTGTGTCAACTTCGTGGAGAGCTATCGTCTGGTAAGTATTTGGTAATATATTTTGGAGACTCTTGTAAAATTTCGCTAATTTAATAAAACAACTTAATTTGAGAAATTTTTAATTAATTGATTTATATCGCATTTGAATTCTGACGGTCTTAAAGGCTATTAATTACTTGGTGGTAGACGACCCATTGTGATTACTGACCACCCTGCTGCTTATCTCGGACATCCTGAGTAGTGCTTTGAATTCCGAGGGGCTGATAAGCTATAAACCATTCGGTAGCAGGACTCGTCTCAGTTAAAGTTATATAGAGAAGGATCGAAGGTTTTTCATGTAGATTTATAATTTTATTTTCGTTTAAGGTCAATCGTTTTCCGCCCGAAACAAGTCCGAACAAATCCGAACAAATCCGAATAAATCCGAACAAATCCGGGCAAATCTACATATACTTAGAACACACCAAGCTTATAATTCAGTATCATATTGAAGGTCTACTACATAAGTCATACTGTACGCTGTCCAAAGGCTTAAGATGTATTGGTTGAAAGTTTTATGTGAAAAAATCCGTGCTATATTAAGTATTTTATCATTAACAATGAATACAAATGAGACAGAAACTGGTCTTCGTGAATGTAATAAAGCTATTCGCCGAATCAGCCATAATTTAAAAATTGCTGTGACCATGGGGGAAAAACAACGATTAAGTGCTGCTTTAGCTAATATTGAGAGTTATCGATCGCAAATAAAGAATTTGCGAAAAAAGGGAAGAGGTCTAAAGGAAACTGCAAAAAACCATGTACTCTGGCAAGATTCTTTATTAACATTCAATAGTCGCATTCATACTAGAGTAATTACAAATCTTTAACACAAAGATCCGAAGACTTTTTTACAAGATTGCAAATCTATTTTTTGAACGAAAAATCCATAATACGATACAAACAAAAGAAGCCATTAAAGTCAATGTTGTTTTTGTGGTGAATTTGTTTTATCGAAGGCTGATCGAGTTCACACTGAATTTAAGTACTTTACAACTTCTAATTCACCAATATATAAAGACTCTAACATCGGTCTATGGTTTGATGAAAAGGTTATTAAACCCATTCTAAATGAACTTGAGGAATTTCAAGAACGTGACAGTGAATGGTCTTTAAAACAAGTTATTAATTTGGGTGTGAACATTAGCAAGTTTACCCCTCAACTGGGATCATCGTATATTGATTTACCTCCACAAATAAAAAAAAGAAGCATGTATTAATATCAAAAATTACGATCAAGCTTGCTTCGCTTGGTCTGTTATGGCTGCTTTATATCCAGTAATCAAACACTCACAGCGTATATCTATGTATCCACACTACTCAACTGTTCTTCAATTAAAAGGTATTCAATTTCCAATGAGTATGAAACAAATTCCTAATTATTTATTGTTTCGGCCTTTACTTGATGAAAATCCATTTAATCTTGAAAGAGTAAAACCAAATTTGGTAGATTTTCACACTTTTATTTTAAAAATATAAAATTTTTTAAAAACACTAACATGACATATGTTTCGAAGTACAACTTCTTTTTCAAATGTGACTATTTACAATTCGGTATCCAATATATATACGAAATAATTTAACAAACCGTTAGGTATGAAATCTACATTACCGATATCCAAGTTTCAAACCCTGTTTCTTGAAAATCTTTCTTCCCAATTAATTACACTCTTGTAAACAGTTAATAAATATAACCTTCATAATCCCCCGCATAATGTCTTTAAATAGCCGCGCCACGGCCAGTTCCGCTTCCTTAGCCAGGTCTGAATCCGAGTGGTTTCTGGCTGGGGAGGGGGGGGGGGACATCTACTGTTTCCCACTAACTAAAATGGATATAAAATGTATTCGTTCAGTTGAGCGCAATAGCATATTTTTTGGTTTTGTAGTCTGTGCGTAGATAAGCTAATAGAGAGATATTGCAAATTTCTATAACGTCAGCCACTAATAGTGATAACGTAGAGGCAAATAAATTTCATGATAAAATAAAAATTATTGCAAACCTGAAGTTTTGACATTAAATTCCTTGTCCTTATACATATTTCTAAATTTTAAAAATTTTAAATTTCATTTCACCTTTTTTATTGTCTATAATAGTACATAATATGGAAGAGGCATTAGAAATTATAATTTTAGATTTAGATGACGGTGATATTAAATATATATTAAAAACTTCGAACTGATACGAATGTCGCCACTATCTATCCTTAAACATCTAAAATTAAAGACAGGCACAATCTTTAATAAAGTCAGTTCTGGGCATGCTCAGTTGTCAAAATAAGAGCGGCGCTAATAGTGACTGATCTTAAGTGATATTCATTTTAATATTCATTTCCATCTGCACTACAAACAATACAAGGTGTCCCATTAGTGCGTAATTGTTCAATATTTCAATATTACAATTTGCGTTATAGACATACAAACAAGTTTTCAATAAAAGTTATATAGATTTGAAAACTACATATTTTAATAATATTTTTGGATATACAGGGTGTTGCGTTTTTGCATGGCAAATAAAAATGTATGTTTTTTAAATAGAACAACCTGTAATTTATTTTATTTTTAGAATGGTTTGGTAATACTGTATTCAACCCTAGAATGTTTTACAAAAATATTACAGGTTTGCCAAGCAATTTTTTTTTTTTTAATTAGAGAATGATGCAGACCCCAAATTTAATGATCATAAGTTAGGTAAGGTTTACGAGTACATTGATTTTAAAATTGTTTAAAATACAGAGACTAAGCTAACAAATATTAGTGTTAGAACTGGTTTATTTTATACAGAGTGTTTTGAAACGTCTTAAATATAACTAATTTTAAGTTCAATTTACTTAATTTTTTTAAATGCAACACCCTGTATATTATCATAGCATAAACTTCCTTATAAATTTGCCTGTACAACGATACCAATATATTAGCCAATAACACATATACAGCGCGTAATTGATCGATAGATGTTTTATTATTAGAAATACGAAAAAAATTTTAATATAAAAGTTGTATAACCATATTTAACAATTATTTTTAAATATACAGGATGGTCCATAAACGAGGTGCTGACCAAATGCATACTTTTTTAAAGCAAAACGCTCTGCCAGGTAGTTATACACATTTAATTGGTTTCACATCGTCAAACAATTTAAATTAACTTTATTCATTTGCTGTCGTATATAGGGTGTGTCAAAACGTGAATTTACGATTTTCTCAATATTTTAATTGGAATACCCTGTATTAATTAATTGGTGGGTATTCCATTAAAAAAATTGAGAAAATCGTTACTCCGCATTTTGTCACACCTTACATACAACATAACAAATAAATGAAGTCTATTAAAATTGTTTGACGATGTGAAAACAATCAAATATTTATAACTACTTGCAGGGTGTTTAGCTTTAAAAATATATAAGTTTGGTTAGCCCCTCGTTTATGGACCACCCTGTACATTTAGGAATAATAATTCACACAACTTTCATATTAATTTTTTTTTGTATTTCCAATAAAAAAAGCTATCGATTAATTACGTATTGATGGGACACCTTAATCAAAGCCTTAATTTAATTTTAAAAAATTCCAGGACCGGACTCTCTTTTTTTATATTGCTCTTCTTAGCTAGAATATCACTCTGTATATTATCGGATCTTAATAAATCTTACTGCACATTAATATAGTACGTGGATCAATAAATAAAATAGTTTAATAATATTTAATGGCACCATCTTGATTTTCTTACAGTACATTTTTATAATGGCGACAACAATATTATAAATCCGTATTTACAAAATTGAAATCAAATATTTTACTCTGTATTTTTAAAACTCTACACAAATTAGGTACCATCTTCATTTATTTTTAACTAATGCCTTTTCCAATAAGAAATTGAACATCTACACAGGACCGGGCTCACTTTATTTGATAAAGTAACAGAACAAACTAACAGAAACAAATAATTAAAACTAAAGTAGATTTTCAAAATGAACACCGTGAACGTCAATACACATCTGCGAACGTTTTAACAGGTTTTTCACTGATTTGTCAATTATTTCCGGTTTATGTCTAATGTTGTTACATTATTAATTTTTTCCAATAACTGTGCTCGGGTATTCATTGTAGCATTCATATTTTCATATAAATACTTTACCTTAATCTGCGAAGAATTGATTTACATATACTGACCTATTTTATCATTGTACATTAAACATTTAATTTAAGTAATAATAATTGATCCATTTCACTTCCTTGAAATGTTTTGGCAAGAGCTGTTTCATACCTAATCCAAATAACCATTTAAATACTTTAAATATTCGATAGCAGGTATTTGGTATTCATATTTACAATGCTTAGATATATCACTCTGAAATAGAATCACATATAATAAACTTTCTTTAATCATTTTAAAATACGTTACCATCAGTATATGTCTCTTTAAATAAATGAATCGTTTCTCGTAGATTTCTTTTAAAATATAGAAAAAGTGTGTTTCATTTTTGTTTACAATTAAATTTATTTTACTTTTAAGGTTATGTCACTTGTCACTTGCTTCTTTCTGTCAATCTGAATATGGAAAAAGCAATTAGGCATTCCAACGACCTGTCAAACAATAGGTGCCAGTGGGAAATTCTTGTATATTTAAGGGGGTAGCGACATAGTCTTGCAACTTGGACGCTATTTTTATTCGAAGTAGTACTCGCCAAGCCTGCCAATTTATGAAGAAATGTATAGGTGGGTTTTTTAAATATTATTTTTATTGTGTTTGACATAAAATATTTAAATGTAATCCATTATTCATGATTTTACGTAAAGTAGATAGAATACACCATATGTCGCCACCCTTAGATATACCAAACCTGCCCACTGGTAATTCATTTGTTTGGAATGCCTAATTAGGCATTCCAAACAAATGAAAAATGCCTAATTAGGCATTCCAACGACCTATCAAACAATACCTACCAGTGGGAAGGTCTCGTATATCTAAGGGGGTAGCGACATAGTCTTATTTTTATTCGAAATATCAGTCGCCAATCCTGGCAGTTTTTAAAAAAATGTACAAGCAGTTTTTTTAATTAATATTTTTATAGTGTTCGATATAAAATATTTAAATGTAATCCATTATTCATGATTTTACGTATTGTAGATAGAATACATCGTATGTCGCAACCGTCAGATCTACCAAACCTGCCCACTGGCAATTCATTTGTTTGGAATGCCTAATTATTTCAGTCTTGTTCTTATTATATGGCCTTTTACTGAACAGTTATTAACTTAATATACTTTTTCGTTTGTATAACTTGTTGATTTTCAACCAATCAAAAACCTTTATTCCAATTTCGCATTTCGAATCCTTTTTAAATTTAAAGTAACGTACCTTTTTTTATAAAACTTCTGGAACTTTGTAGAATGATTTTCTGCGTATTTCTTTTCTGTTCCAAAAACCGAGAAAACCATATCGTTAGTAAATTAAGGCCACTGTGGTTTTGTAATCCCTAATTAAATGAATTTTAATATTTAAATTCTTAGATTCTTTAACGAATGCCGTTTTCTTCCGTCTGGATATTATTTTCGTTTTTCTTTTAAATAGGGACGTACCTACCGACCAACTTTATGTCTGGATCACGAGGCGGTAGAGAGCACAAGCCAATCACAATTTTTTTTTGGTATTCCTCATTGCTTTTCGAAGAACGCAATATCTTCAACCGTTATTACTTCAATATTTATTTTGGAATTGCTGTTAGCAATAAGTTTGGTTTCATCGTCGTAAACCAGATCAAATTGGAATAGTCCAGAGATGTATCCAGCCTGTCCTCTCTCTAATAACCTGGAGCGTGGTTGTAGCCCAGATCTACAAATATCCAGTCTGTCTTTTGATGACTTTCCACTAATCCGTAGGATGACATCCGAAGAACCACAGCGAGGAACCTTGTTCTTCAAACCAGGTTTTTCTTTAATAATTAATTTAAATTAAAATTAATATTTCGTTATTATAATTTAATATTTAAAAATTTAACGTTTAAATAAAAGGTGTAAACCGAACATATATACAGGGTGTCCTTTAAAATGTGTCCCAAAATTCTCAGGCAGATTCCTTAACCAAAAAATGGAAAAAAAGTTCCTATAGACCTATGTCCTAAAGTGCCCCCTAAGCGAGCAACAGCCTCTCGAAATCATTTTTTTTATTTTGATTTTTTGAATTTTCTTAAAAATGAAAACAAATAAAAGAACCAAATTT